CTCAGAATAGGTTAAGCAAAGCCCATTCCTACCTGCTGAAAACTTGCAACTTCTACATAATGTTCTGAAAGTTTTTCTCCAAAAAAAAGAAAGAAAGAAAAACCTTTCTCAAAATAATGTTCTGAAGTCTGCAAAACTAAAAACTGTGTTACTTCAATTTGGAGTAAAAAAGTCGCGGTGCCCTACTCTACTGGAGTAAGGGAAGAGTGTGCAGAAAGGGTTGATGAGGTTCTGTGCAGATCTCTGTCAGCTTCATGTTGTTTTTGGCCTTTACCTCCTGTGTCAGACGTCTCACTTAGGTTGCTTTTTTTGTTTTGTGTGCCAACTTTGTGCTGCCTCTTCTTTTAACGGGGATCTCTTAATTTTATCTCCCCAGTAGCAGAAAGAGCATTTGCCGGTAAAATGTGACTGTTTGATCTTTTCTCCGGACTTCTGTGGAATTTCCCTTTTATCATTCCTTTTGCACTGATTCTTGCTCTATCTATTTATATGCTCACCATGTATGACACTGTTGTTTTGCTTTTTTATTTTTTCAATTTACTTTGCAGTCAGAGTACCCTAAATACACTCCTTTGCTTGCTAAAATACTGGAAGGCGTGCTTTCTCGGAGCAATATTGAGGATAAATTCCATCATTTCACAGAGGTAAAGTAGTTTTGAAGTATATATCTCAATTTGCTTTTTCTGGGATCATGCAACTTGTTAACCAGTTTAAATCTGTTTAGTATATAACTGATTGCAATTGTAACTTTTGGAGCGCAGCTTTGCTTTTTTTTGTATCCATGTATGTTATGTTTTCCAGAAAATATTTACATTAGGGTAGTGTTGGAAATACCTAGATTTTTTGGACGAAATTCCACCTTTTGATTCCTAAATTGCAAGCCAACATCACCTCAAAACCCCCCAAATCAGACTTGAACTGATTCGAGAATTTGAAAATGTGCTAATTATAGCTACAGGGCCACTTCACGATCACAGGACCCTGCCAAGCTTACCTTTCGTGATTGCGGTCACTCTCCTCACAGTCGCATACCCGTCCTTGTGATCGCAATGTTTTGCCTGCCTGAGCTTTGCAATTGCATCTTGTGTCTTGCAGTCACTTGGGAGGCACCAATCATCAGCAAAAGTTTGCCAATTTCAATGCCCACTAAGGTCCTGAAACACCCCAGAGCTCTTCGGGTCCAAATGCGAGAAAGACACAAGTCCTAAAAACATGTTATAAACTTGTACAAAGTCTCGAACCGCTCAACAGCATCTAAAGTTCAAAAGGAGGGTTTGGGTTTGCAAAGTTGGCTTTTAAGCTTTCTAAATCTCAACCGTGTTTTAGAACGTTCCCGAGTCCTTTGGGTTCTGAACTGTACTATCCCACTAAGTCCAAAATACAATGCGGATCTAACCGAAGTATCATAACACAAAAGAGTACATATTCTCTAAACTTGTGTTCTGGTTGTTACGTTGTCATATTTAAAGCCACAAGTTCTGGAGTTGCTTTTGGTGTGTGCCGAAGGTCTTATTTTCCTTCACCCAGTTAAACACCACCATGTACTAAATAGAACAAAGGTAGTAAATGTTCTATTAAAATATTTTCTGATTTTCAGATATCATTCTTCGATAAATCTTCATCTCCAAAATTATTTTTCAGCTACCTAAACAGCCTCTCTACCTTCACAAAGTAGGTTAAGACTGCATACACAGCATCCTCTCCAAACCACAATTATACACTGGGTATGTTATGTTACTCCATCCGTTTCAATTTGGTTGTCCTATTTTGACTTGGCGCGAAGTTTAAAAAAACTAAAGAAGATTTTTGAATCTTGTGGTATTAAATTGAAGATATGAAAAACAATTTCGATTTTTTTTTTTGAAACTGGTAACATTTGTTTTTCATTTGGTACTTAGGTAATGCTGAAAAACCATATTTACAAAAGCAGAAAGGACGTATAATTTATCCAAAAGCTGAACCAAATCTAAATGGATCCTAAAACATCTATGATTGACTTAGTTAACATTGGAGTAGACTTAGACATTTGTACACCAAAAGCAGAACAACAAGATCCACTTAAGCTTTACTCCCTGCAGGTTGTTGTTCCTATTCTCAAAACATCTCTCGTTTCTCTTTCTCCATATAGTCCACCAAATATTTGCAGCGATCATCCTCCATCTTTCTATGTTTGTAGCCCCAATTCCAGCCATATCCCAACTGAATAGAGTCTCACCAATCTTGCTAGGCATACACCAAGATATGCCTCTGAGATTAAGGAAAATCTGCCACAGCTGCTCAGTAAAGTTGCTATGTAAGAAGCGATGTCTCACTGTCTCTTTAGACTTACCACATAAGGAACATCTGTTGCATAGAGAGATTCCTCTCTTGGCCACATTATCCAATGTCAAAACTGCTTCATTGGTGGTACCATTTCACCTTCAGAGCTTACTATGGTTTTTGAGATTCTTGATACCTAATCCACCTTGCCTTTTACTTCTGATGATGTAATCTGGTTCTCATAGAACTCAATCATTCCACCAGACCTTGATTCTTTCAACAAATCCTTCTTGGTTCAGCCACCAATTTTCGAACTTAAAATAAAATTTAGTTTGTTCCCAATGTCCACACAACAAGCTATAGGAACATGATCAGAAGTCACTCTTTGCATAGTAGTTTGCTTTATATTGGTGAAAAGATTATTCCATTCTGTGGAGGATTAAGGCCATAATCCTGTCTATTCTGGATGCTGTTATATGGTTATCACCCTTGTCCCAGGTATACCTTCCACCACTTAATTGCAGATCAATGAGGTCCGTGTCTTCGGTGCATTCTGAGAACTCTCTCATTGCTGAGTTTAACCTGTTGCATTCCTTTTTACAGAAGGAAATCTACCGACACTAAAGTCACCACAAACAGCCCACGGACCATCCATCAAGCCTCTTACATCAGCCAGTTCTTCCCATGCAAACCTCTTCTCCACTTTACTATTCAGAGCATACACTCCGGCTATATGACATTCAAAGTTGCTTGCCTGAGCTTTGAATTCACAAGAGAGAGTATAGGCTCCAACTTGCATAATTTCCCCTTGCCACATTCGGAGTCCCATAGCATTAGGATTCCTCCTCTGGTTCCACTGGCCTCTAAACAAGCATATTTAATCCATCTCCCTGCCCAAATTTGTTAACCAAGTCCCGTACATTGCCTTCTTATTTAGTTTCCTGGAGGCGGACATTGTCTGCTTTCCAATCCTGCAACAGGTTTTGTACCACCCTTCTCTTTCCCTGTTCATTCAGCCCCCCAATATTCCATGAGATTAATTTAATCTTCATGGAGTATTATTTGATTTCTCCTTTCCCTTCCCTCTTATCACCATTGCTTTTGAATTTGACATCAAAAGTTATCAATGGCTAAAAGATATGTCAAATGTATCAAAATGCCCTTTAATCTTGTGGTCTTAAAACATGTCATGTGTAACGTTGGAATTCGAGAGTTGCTAAAAAAGGTACTCGACATTCTTTTTGAAACGGACTAAAAAGGGAAGTAGGACAAACAAATTGAATCAGAGGGAGCATTTTTTTAGTTTACCAGCCAACACCAAGAAACATTTTCCAGAAAGTATTTATCTGAAAAATAGCCTTTTTTCCATGACACTTGTTAGGAAACATGGTCTTAAATTTACCTTTTGCAATTGAATCTCAGTTCTCAACAACGATGGCCATTCATTTAAGTCTTCAGGTAGCACCATTAGATCTTCAATCAGGTGGAAATTCTCGGCTTGGATGAGTATTCTTTTTTGTTCCTATTAGCAAAGCATCCCCTTTTTCTTCGCTTTTTCGGAATCGGTACAGAAATAGGTGCTTTATCTCTGTTGTTTATCTTAGTTACTGGGGTTTTTGGGGGGAAAGCCTATGTGGTCTGGGATGCTCATTTAAGCTCTTTATTCATTTTGTTCCTCATTTACTTATGTGCACTGCATTTTCAAAAGCTTTATGTCGAACTGGCTCCTATTTTAGATCCATTCAATGAATTGAACCACAACATTGAATTAACCAATATATCAGTGAAGTGTGTCATCAAACTTCCATTGAAGAGCAAATGGAAGTCTTCCATAAATATTCTTGTAGAATCATCAATCTCTTACAAACAACTTGTAACATTGAAGAATTCTATTGAGATACTAAAAGTTTCAAAGCAAGGAAGAACAATTTAACTTGGAACTACATTAAGTGAAATAACTTGTTACCTATATTAGATGGCTAAAAGGTCCTTGTTACCTCTCAAACCCCCCCACCCCACCCCACCCCACCCCCCCACCCCCCACCCCCTGTTCCCCCAAAATAAAAGAAGTGATAAAGCCTAGTCTGAAGATGCTTTCTGAAGTGATAGAGCCTAGTCTGAAGATGCTTTCTGTTTGACAATTTAACTGTGAACAGTTGTTCTGATCTGTCTATACAGTTGCGCTATCAGTATAGTTGAGAACAGATAGAGTCCGCTGATACTTGCACAAGGTGTTTATATCTGTGCTACCACTTATAGGTTGTATGTGATTCGATAATTCCATCTTCTCCTTCTATAAGAGCAGGTAGGAATTGGTGGGTACCATGTAGAAAAGAAACTCTGAGTCCACTAATTTGTTTGCAGGGTTGCAAGTGATATGATTGGAGAAGGTGCTAGAAAGCTTAAAAGAGTACTTAGAAAAAAAAGTGTTTTATTTAGAATTTCTTTGTGAGGATGTTGCTTCATTTGGAGAGGAGAGTGGTCAATTTCTTTTGGAAGTCACAGATTAAGTAGGTCAAACGAATTGCTGGCAAACCTATTTTATCAGATGGCGACAATACTTGAATTAATTTTCAGTCTTTCAATATTATTTAAGTGTTCATGGATTTCATGATTCCAAGGCATGTGCTTTCTCCAGATAATCAGTGCAGCAGACGAGGTTATTGCTAGCATCGATAGAGATGAATTGGCAAAATGTTGTGCCCTCAGAAGTGATCCAGAAGACGAGGCTACAGAAGTGAGTGTTCATCATTGGTGTTTTTACCTGTGTTACAATTTCAATTGAAGAAAAGTAACCTTGTGCTAACTGTAAAAAACTGGACTGCTGGATTTGTCCATCTCAGCAGAACAGCTTTTTCTGCCAAGAAACTAGTCATAACTAACAGTCTACTCCATTTGACAGAAACTGAAGAAGAAGATGGAGACGACCCGTGACCAGTTAACTGAAGCACTCTACCAGAAGGGATTGGCTTTGGCTGAGCTTGAAGCATTGAAGGTAATGACTCTTTAAAGGAGCGATTTACCTTCTATCCTTGCTCTTGAATGCTGACCTAAGTTATGTGGACTCTTCACTTTCGATGCCACACCCGTGTCATATTCTCAAAATACACTATTTTTGGAGAATCCGACACGCACCTGTTGACATTTTTAAAGAGTCCGAGCAACATAGATGCTTACTGGTGAGATGATTGCCAATGCAAATAGGAATAAAGAATGGCCTTTGAATGAAAAGTGCTTTGTTTAAAAGGCTTAATCTTTGTGAGTTCTGACACTTAAAACAATAATATAGGCTATTAGATACTTGTCCAACAAAAGAAGAATAAGCTGGACGTAAGTGGTTTGTTCATTTTGTGCAGCTCCTGAGACTTCATTCAGGCATTTCACTTCTAGCACATATGCTAGAATGGATTACTGTGGATCTGTTTGATTTTAAACATTAGTTTGTCTCTGTGCAAGGTGCATTAATCATTAAATGAGCTTCTAAGTTCTAACAGATTAAAATTATTGTATCCTTGAGAATTCTGTGGGACAAAATTCTAAATGACATATGTATGATTTGTCATATAGTCGTGCTTTACATTGATGCCTTGAGTTTAACCTTTCGCTGATGGAAATTTCTGTAAGTGATCCCCAACCCTGGAAGTCCTAAAATTTTTAGAAAATACCTAAGTTTATTCTATCAAATATAATCAATGAAGGAATAAGCATTGTGGGATGAAAACAAGAGCTTCAGAAGAAAACAAAAATACTCCAACCCCTGTTCACTTTTATAATACTCCCTCCCCTGTTCACTTTTATCTTCCACTATTTCAAAAATAGTTTCACTTTTAACATTTCAAGAAAAAATAAAACAATTTTTCCATGTTTACGCTTAACATTAATTATTTATTCTGAAATCATTTTTAAAGACCTTATATGAACCATCTATTAATAGGGGCGAAATAGCGATGCCAATAATTGTTCTCTTAATGGGTGTGTCAAGATTGAAGTCCAAATGTGACAAGTAGAAGTGAACGGAGGGAGTAACCAAGTAACTGGGCAAACTGAATTTCTTATTCCTATTTTTTCTGGGTCTGAGTATTGATTAGATAGTTCCTGCACGTGTTAGAGTATGTTACTATATTTAAGTTAGTCTGACAGGGATGATCGCCTGAGATTAACTCTGATCGGGATGAGCACCTGATGCAGTAGATTATGAGTTGGTCTTCATATTCTGTTGTACATCGTGCATTCAATTATAATTGATTATGCACAAAATTCTGTTGCATGAAGTGCCCAGGGTTTCTTCTTTATTTTATTTATTCATTTTGCTTTTTGAGTGCCTAATGAGGTTATTATGGTTTTGTGGTAGGGTGAAAGCACTGTGGATAAGGTAGATATGTTTGAAGAGAACTTCAAAGAGCTAAAGAAATGGGTGGATCTGAAGTCCTCTAAATATGGCATACTTTCAGTTTTCCGTGAGAGGCATCATGGGAGACTTGGAACCGCACTTAAGGTACAACTACTTTTTGAGCATTTTGTAAATGCTGCAAATTTTAATTAGTGCATCAGTACACTACGTATTCATTATTTTCTCTGGTTAGATGATTGAACTTCTCTCTCATTCTTGCTTCGCTATAACAGTCGTTCATATCTTGAACATGGGATGCATGCATTTTTATAACACTGGTTAGCTCATGTAATTACAAGATCTTATTTGTTTAAAAAATTGATTAATTGCTGACTTGTTACATCAGGTTCTAAATGACATGATACAAGATGATGGTAACCCACCCAAGAAGAAGTTTTATGAACTAAAGCTCTCTTTGCTCGATCAGATAGGATGGAGCCACTTGGTGGCATATGAGAAACAGTGGATGCAAGTACGATTTCCATCATCACTACCTCTTTTTTAGTTTTTGTTCAGTGAGCGCACAAAATTTTAGTAGAATATGAGAGAAAGAGAAGATGTGACGGAGTTCTGCAAAAAAAAAAAAACACTATTACTTGTGGCGCAGTGCAATGTTGATTAAGATTCTTTCTTTCTTTTCAATAATCATCTAGTTTGTTTTCTTCAGTCCTACTTAAAAGCAGGATTGCAAGTATAAACTATGTAATTTAAAATCTAAATGTTGTATAAGATTTGTTTCATGTGAACTTTTGTTGTGTATCATCTGGGTGTTTATGGTTTCCGTGGACATTCAAACACATCATTCAGAATACGGTTATATAAGGATTTCTTGTTTGAGATTACACTTGTCATTCATGTTCCAAAGCTTGATTGTATTGGCTGAGTTCGTTCATTTTTTTTTTGGACTCATATCACTATTTATCCTACTCCCTACTTAGAACTTAAGTCATGAAGACACAGTTTGGGTGTGGAAACCATAGGGGCTTTCAGATAATTTCTTTTAAAAAAAACAGTACAAAGTTTAACCTCTTTATATTTACCAGGGTTACTTCTTGAAAAATTTGTTACATCTCTTTTGAGTGTGTATTTCACTTTTGCAAATGGATCCTTTACCCTTTAATTGGTTGCAGTTAGGTTGGATGTGTTTGACCTGCTTCGTTTCTTCTCATATTCATTTATAATTTTCTTTTTTTGTTTGTTTGGTGATGACCATGGTGTCTGGATTGCTTTTGCGCACTTGGATTATTTCAACCTCTCATCAATACAACTATCGAATGGAACGGAGTTATCTAGTATCTTTTGTTCTGTTGGAATTTGAAATCTTATGGTTCTCTTAGTTTGTTGATCACTTGGTTGCATCGTTTATGATTCAACATCTCTAATTTTACTGCAACTTAATATTCATTTGTTATGCTCACTCTCTCAGTATCTCTTGTCATGAGTAAGTATTCAACTATTATGCATTTCACTTCGATAATATAAATTATAATCAGTACATGAATTCGACTCCTGGAAAATGAGGTCTACTTCTGTAAGCCATTGCTCCTCATTCTCCTGTGTAATTTTTTTTTAAGAAGAATATAGTAAAGAGTACAAAAACAAAATTCAGATAGATTTGGCTGCCTCTTAGAGCTTAACCAGGTAATAGTTTGTTGATTATTCTACTATGCTAAATTAAAGTGATTGGAGTATAAGAGGTAAACCTAGTGTGGGTCTAAGAGAAAGCATGATAGAGGGACAGTGTTTATAGTTTGGTGAGATGGAAAAGGAGAACCTTGTCAAGATTAATGACAAGACAATCTTGTACTCCATCATAGTCAAATTCCTACCAATGCACATCCTTCCTCCAAACCCAAAAGGCATAAATCCCATCTTATGTTTACATCCACCATGGATGTCGTCCTTAAACCTCTCTGGTTTGAACTCATTCACATCTTCACCCCAAAGTGTCTTATCATGATGCATGGACACCACATCAATCCACATATTTGTTCCATTAGGTATGACCAAATCATCCACTTTAATGTCTTCTCTAGCTTGCCTTTGCACATTTGGTGCTGGTGAGTATAGTCTTAGTACTTCATTCATCACCCATCCCATCTGCATTATACATACGTGTTGAAAAAAGTCAAACACCATATTTCCAAACAAATAAATCTTGAATTAAAAGGTAAGTTTTTTATTAATAAAAAATAAGTATTTAAAAAAATTGTGTCACAAAAGGTTGTAGAGGTTGGAGCTGTGGCCGGTGAGTGATGAATTTTTATTTTTTTAACCAGGTGGAAGTCACATTTAGGTGCATATAGGGAGTTGGCACGTGTAAAAAAAAAATAAGACCAAGTCCCATTCAATCCCAAATCCTTGGAGTATTTGGTATCTGAAAAGTTACACGCTGCTCTCTCTGTCATTAAATATTGTTGTTGATTTTGAATTGAACTTTAAAACATGCATGTTGACCCCCGACCAAATATTTGGGACCCCTTAAAATTTTTGTTTTTCTCTCTTCCCCTTACATATTAGTCGTAAGAAATTAATTTACCCTTAAAAGAAACATTTTGTACCTTACTAGCTTTTTTATTCATTAAAAAAAATTATATTTAGAAAATATAATTTGATTTTATATATTAACAAATATTTTTAATAAGGTGGATAAATGATAATTTAAATGTGTGAAGTAAAAACTGGAGACACGATTATTGCGCCTCTGAATGGGGGTTCAGGTCGATTAAAATTAGGTGTCGCACTTGATAAAAGGAAATAATTAGGTTACCTTCCTAAGACCAACAAGCTTAGTGACATCTATTTCACCATCATCACCCATCACTTGTTTGATTTCCTCTCTGAGTTGATTTTGCCACTCTGGATGCTGTGCCAACAACAACAAAGTCCAGGCCAGTGCTAGCGCTGTGGTCTCATGTCCACCGAAGAAGAACGTTTTACATTCATCCACCATTTCCCTCGTACTCAACATCCTCCCGTTCCCCGCTAACAACAGACTCAGAAGATCGTGCTCTGTACGATCAACGCTTTTTCTTTTTCGCTCCTCAATAATCGAAATGAGGAGCGAATCGATCTCCTTGCCTAGATTATGGGCTTTTAACGTCTCTTTTAGACACATTATTTGGTTCCCATAAGGTACCCCGACGTAACGGGTAGACTTAAATAGTGTCACTTGCATGTTTCTTAATTTTTTGAATACTTTTTCACATTCTTCGTAGCTAATCCCAAAGCTTGTCTTTGCGATGATTTCTCCTGCCGTGTCTATGATTTCGGACTCTACATCGATTTCCGCGTTACCGGAATCGATGAGTCTAGCCCAACGGTCTAGCATGTGTGTGGCGGAATCAACCATTAAGTTTGCCATGCCCTAAAAAACAAAAGTAAAATTAATACAATTTGATGGAAATGATGTATCAAGTGTAAAAATTGGATGTTTATGTTGTCCCTATAACTTGCTAGCAAATACGTAAATTGTGTGTAATT